CAAACTAATGACAGAAAGCAGATGAGGGTTTACCAGGAGCTGAACATCAGGGGGAGAGAACTGACTGCAGAGAGACAGGAGGAAAGTTTGGGGGGTGGTGAAAATATTCCACATCATGATGGCAGGGGTGACTATATGACTTGACACATTTCTCAAAATTTCGTGAAATGTAGCTTAAAGTTGCTAAATACTACTAGATGTAAATTATATTTCAATAAAGCCAAGTTTAAAGTCTATCTATCTATCTTTAATAATCTGATGTAGCATTTCTATTCTTTTACATCTAAGACTATGCAAACACTTTGGAGATAGAAAATAAGCACAATTTCATTTCAAAATACAGAGCTAGAAGTTGTTGTAAAAGGGTAGGCGCTGCCCCAGTCACTGTGCACGGGTTGCCAAGACTTTCCTGGATGAATTCCATCCAAGATATGGCTTTTAGTCTCCCGAGGTCTTTGGACACCCAGAAAGTGGGTCATCTTTCAGAATATCTGCGTCACTGTGGACAGTGTGTTAGTAAATCAAAGACCAGCTGGATTTGTTCTCAAATTGGCAAAATACTCACTTGCTTGGAAGTACTATTAATCCTTTCATTTATTGAATGGGGAAAATTGGTCTTGATTACTTTCAGTTATTATCAGCGCTGCATATTCTTTTGGTGTAGGATATATATTAGGCATTAAACATGTGCTTTAGAAAAGCAGAGATCATGTGACTGCTTGATTCTAAACATGAAAAGTTTGAAATTAAGACTAATTAGCTTTTGAAATTAAGACTAATTAAAACTAATACTAAATATTCTTACAGAGTAAATTGGAGTGGTAAAGCAATTATTTTCATTCTGTAATGCAAAGTTATTTTGGCTAAAATATTCTGTTATTATGCAAAAGCATTGTTCTGGACTAAATTCTTGAGATAATTCTGCTTTTGGCAACAAATAACAGAAAACCAATCTGAATGGGCTTCAGACAGTAAGCACAGTTCCAAGCTCCTGGATCTGGAATTCTAGACTTAAAACAGTGTCCAAGGTTGTTTAGACATGTGAATCACAATAAACTGTGGAAAATTCTGAAAGAGATGGGAATACCAGACCACCTGACCTGCCTCCTGAGAAATCTGTATGCAGATCAAGAAGCAGCAGTTAGAACTGGACATGGAACAACAGTTTGGTTCCGAATCAGGAGAGGAGTATGTCAAGGCTGTATATTATAACCCTGCTTNGAAAAGACCCTGATGCTGGGCAAGATTGAGGGCAGGAGGAGAAGGGGATGACAGAGGATGAGCTGGTTGGATGGCATCACCGACTCAGTGGACATGAGTTTGAGTAAACTCCAGGAGTTGGTGATGCACAGGGAGGCCTGGCATGCTGCAGCCCATGGGGATGCAATGAGTCAGACATGACTGAGCAACTGAACTGAACTGCCTGAACTGAATAAATCGTTGTGAATATTGCTGTCGAAAAGAAAATCTTGTCCCCCTCTGTGCTCTGGGTGACTGTGATGCCCATGTGCAGATGAGCAATGCTGTCCAGAACTTCCTGGAGAGAGGAGAATAGTCTGACATAAACACAACCCCAAGTCTGAGTTGTGGAAAAAACCCTAAGTGAAAAGAAAAGAACCGCTGGAGTAAGTCATCCATCCTTTGAGGAAAGAGGCCCTTATATAATGAGTGGTTTTAATCTGGAACTTAAATATCCTCAAAATCTAAGGTGGCCTTTTCCATAAAATAGTGTTTTAACTAAAGATTAGATTTTTGGTCAAATGCATAATGTCCTTCTCTAGAATTATAGAGAAGTTACCGTGAACCACAAAGAAGCTTTCTAGAATAAAAAGTTTTTATATGTTCAGTAGTGCAGTGAGAGGATGAAGAACAGAATCTCTCATCAACTGCCTGAACTTCACATCCTAGCTTAGCCACCTTTTTCTATTGAATCCTTGTGTGCTAAGCCTTGTTTTACTTATTTATACAACAGAACCCTTAAGAGTACTGACTCCAGAGAGTCTTGATGAAAATTAAATGGAGTATTTCATGCTTCATTTCAATTCATCAATTCATTAGCCCAGAATCTGAGAAATATTACATACTTAGGAGGAGTTAACCATTTTAATGTTGGCAATATATAGAAACTAATTGTGAAAAATATTTTGATAACCATGTAAAAATATACAGTTTTCCCCTGGTATCTGTGGAATATTGGTTCCAAGACCTTCTGCAGATACCAAAATACTCAGAAGCTCAAGACCCTTGTACCGAATGGGTCTCAGCTGATGCTCTGTATCCACAAGTTCTGCATCCATGGGTTCAACCAATCACAGGTCCTACTTACTGTTGGTTGAATCCACAGAGGCAGAACCTGTGGATGTGAAGAGCCAACTATATTGTTGGGACATACTAAATTCTTTTGCTTCTGGTATTCCTGATTCATTTTTGAACAGCAGAGGTGAGGGTAGGGGTCTTACCATTTCGAAGATTAGCTCAGGGAACATTTTAATAAGGATCGTATTAGTTATAGTACAGGTCAACTTGCTGTAACAGAGATCCCCCAAAATACAGCGACAAACAAGAGAAAAGTGTCTTTTTCTATTACATGCCCACGCAGAGGTGAGTAGCCCAGCCCTGAAGGTAGCTCTGCCCCATGAGGTCACCAGGACCCAGGTTCCATTTATCTCATTTCTCCATCATCACCTGCAATAGGTTGTATAATCGAAGCCATTTCACCAGTGTCTTCTTCTTCCATCCCTCAGGAAAGGGAAAACTGTGAATGAAGAGCAAACCATTTCCTTTTTAAAGGATGGGACCCAGAACTTGTACACATGGCTTCTACTCCCACCTCATTGCTGAGATCTTAGTCACTGGACCACCCACAATTGAAAGAGAGGCTAGAAAATATGACTTTAACTAGGCAGCCATAAGCCCAACTAAAATTCTGTGGATTCTGTTATCCAAAGGGGGATGGAAAGAATGCATGGTTGAATCAATTAGCAGTCTTCCATTAGTGTTGCTATGGAAATTACTATTGTTTCATTGATCCCAGGATACTGTTAATTTGGAGACACACCATCATTTTATGCACCACTCAGTGAGAAAAGCCATGCTATTGAAGCTGTGGCTCATTACTTTCTTATCAGCTGAGTTATAGGACACATCCTAATTTCGAGATTTTGAAATGTGAAAACTTTGTGTCTTGTTATAGAAGAAATACAAGTTTTCCTGGTGGCACAGTGGTGAAGAATCTGCCTGCAATGCTGGAGAGGCAGGTTTGATCCTGGGTTGGAAAGATCCCCTAGAGAAGGAAATGGCAACCCACTCCAGTATTCTTGCCTGGGAAATCCCATGGACAGAGGAACCTAGTGGGCTGCTGTCCATGGGGTCACAAAAGAGTCGAACATGACTTGGTGACTAAACAACAATGATAGAAGAAGTACAGTGTCAGAAAGACTTAGGAAAATAAAATGATCTAAAGATATTCATTTTGCAGTCTTCTTTGTGTGTATATGACTTTCCTCGGAGCAAGCATAGGCAACAGATATCAAGATTTGGTTGATGCATTGAGTGTAACATTTAGAACAGGTGATTGACAAGGTACTATCCATGAGAATTTAAGTCAAATTCCAACACAAAGGTTTGGGGAAAATTTGCCGAGCTTTCCACTCAGTCTGGAACAGATCTGGAGTTGTATAAACAGATGATGAGGGTCCTGTTGTCACTAACCAGGTTTCTCACTTAGCAGAAGGATGAAGATCAAGGACTACACTCAGCGCAGAGTCTTGGCCAAGGCACTTGACTTCCTATTTCAACATGCAGTCATCACCCAAATATTGGTTGGACACCAGACACTTTGCTTGGTGCTACAATACAGTCTCTGCCCCCCAAGAACTCCAGAGCTTATGCAGGGAGAAGAATAAGTAAACCTGTAAAGGCACGCAATTGTGTAGAGCCTATGATAGAAGTCTAGTGAGTGGAGGCACCGAGTGGAGATCGTCAGTTCTACCCGAGGTTAGGGAAGACCTCCCCGTGGTGGTGAAATCAGAACTAGGGAGAGTTAGAGTTCTTCGTGCAGAAGCATCAAATATGCAAGTGCATGGAAGTGTGACACAGCGGTCACTGCAAGAGACTGAGTCATGGTCTCTTCAGCACACAGGATTAGAAGCAGAGAGGACTCCCCGGGCATTCCAGTGGTTAAGGTTTCATGCTTCCACTGCAGGGGGTGTGGGTTCAATCCCTGGTCAAGGTACTTAAGATCCAATATGCCACTTCATGCAGCCAAAAAAGGAAGAAGAATTTTAAAAGCTCAGTAATCAAGATAAATACTATTCTAGTACAATATTTAAATACACAAAAATTAATGCAAAAATAATTTGTAGAATAAAAATAATTTGTAGAAAAAGACCAGAAGCATCGGGTATGTTCAGCTGTTTCCTTTTTAGTACTTTATACATAGGAGGCAAACAGCAATGTTTGTTTAACTGAATTAGAGAAAGACAAACTTCTTGAATGGCCAAATAAGGATGAGCTAAATTTTCCTGTTATCAAAAAGCTGCTGGATTCCAGTACACGGACAGGAACAAAAGGACACTGTTGATGCCAGCCTTGCTCTAGAACTTACCATGACTCTAGCTTATTGGTTAACATAAGATTTGAGGAGCTAATAGATAAAGGAACTTGTTTAGAACCTGCTTTCAGCATCTTTATACTTGTTTTCTCCAATTTAACAAATGCACAAATGTATTTTACTTTAGAACACACCTTTTATCTTTGTTCACTCCAAGCATATCACACTGCTGATTCTCAGCGCAGCAAGCATACCTTTGTGAATTTGACCTAGGACAAAGCCTAGAGAACCAAACTTTTTGTACTCAGGTGCTAAGATGTCATAATGAAAGACCCTGGTCGGTTCAGTAAGATCATTCGGTAGCTTGGAATCTGGTCAATGACAAATCTGTAATATGCAGATGCCTCTTGCTGTATATTGCTACTGAAAATCTGCTTCTCTTGTATAGATCACTGTTACGGATGAGGAAGTTAGTAATCCATCCTTTGTAGATCTGGTGAGAACTCCCCAAATGAGGAAGTGCACACTTATACTTATGTTCGCTTGGTAAGTTTGACTTGTGATGGATTCAAAAGCTTGTGTCATATTTACAACGCATCCCTCTCTCCAGATCAGGTGGAAGTTCTGTCTTAACTTGTTCTCTGTTGTCTTTCGATGTTACTCTAGGTTCACAAGCGCTGTGGTTTATCAAGGACTCGTCATGCGCCTGGGAATTATAGGAGGCAACCTCTATATCGACTTTTTCATCTCGGGAGTTGTGGAGCTGCCAGGAGCCCTCTTGATCTTACTAACCATTGAGCGTTTTGGTCGGCGCCTACCCTTTGCAGCAAGCAATGTCGTGGCAGGGGTGGCGTGCCTTGTCACTGCGTTCTTACCAGAAGGTAACTGTCCCTCAAGTCTGCTTGGCAGCCAAGACCTTGAAAAAAATCTTAACATAATCAAGAACGGGGGACTTCTCATCTTTAGCAAATGTCCCCTAGCATCAGCATTGTAGTGAGGCACACTCTCATGATGTCTCTCCGTTTCTGCCAAATCAGCGTAATGACTTTGAGTGTAGAAGATTGACTCTATAGATTTTTCCATTTTCTCCAGTTTTAGGGTCATTTGTGGATGAAATAGATGTGTAAAACCTAGATTGTAGTCATAGTTTACTTTTTTACACCGAGTGGAGATCGTCAGTTCTACCCGAGGTTAGGGAAGACCTCCCCGTGGTGGTGAAATCAGAACTAGGGAGAGTTAGAGTTCTTCGTGCAGAAGCATCAAATATGCAAGTGCATGGAAGTGTGACACAGCGGTCACTGCAAGAGACTGAGTCATGGTCTCTTCAGCACACAGGATTAGAAGCAGAGAGGACTCCCCGGGCATTCCAGTGGTTAAGGTTTCATGCTTCCACTGCAGGGGGTGTGGGTTCAATCCCTGGTCAAGGTACTTAAGATCCAATATGCCACTTCATGCAGCCAAAAAAGGAAGAAGAATTTTAAAAGCTCAGTAATCAAGATAAATACTATTCTAGTACAATATTTAAATACACAAAAATTAATGCAAAAATAATTTGTAGAATAAAAATAATTTGTAGAAAAAGACCAGAAGCATCGGGTATGTTCAGCTGTTTCCTTTTTAGTACTTTATACATAGGAGGCAAACAGCAATGTTTGTTTAACTGAATTAGAGAAAGACAAACTTCTTGAATGGCCAAATAAGGATGAGCTAAATTTTCCTGTTATCAAAAAGCTGCTGGATTCCAGTACACGGACAGGAACAAAAGGACACTGTTGATGCCAGCCTTGCTCTAGAACTTACCATGACTCTAGCTTATTGGTTAACATAAGATTTGAGGAGCTAATAGATAAAGGAACTTGTTTAGAACCTGCTTTCAGCATCTTTATACTTGTTTTCTCCAATTTAACAAATGCACAAATGTATTTTACTTTAGAACACACCTTTTATCTTTGTTCACTCCAAGCATATCACACTGCTGATTCTCAGCGCAGCAAGCATACCTTTGTGAATTTGACCTAGGACAAAGCCTAGAGAACCAAACTTTTTGTACTCAGGTGCTAAGATGTCATAATGAAAGACCCTGGTCGGTTCAGTAAGATCATTCGGTAGCTTGGAATCTGGTCAATGACAAATCTGTAATATGCAGATGCCTCTTGCTGTATATTGCTACTGAAAATCTGCTTCTCTTGTATAGATCACTGTTACGGATGAGGAAGTTAGTAATCCATCCTTTGTAGATCTGGTGAGAACTCCCCAAATGAGGAAGTGCACACTTATACTTATGTTCGCTTGGTAAGTTTGACTTGTGATGGATTCAAAAGCTTGTGTCATATTTACAACGCATCCCTCTCTCCAGATCAGGTGGAAGTTCTGTCTTAACTTGTTCTCTGTTGTCTTTCGATGTTACTCTAGGTTCACAAGCGCTGTGGTTTATCAAGGACTCGTCATGCGCCTGGGAATTATAGGAGGCAACCTCTATATCGACTTTTTCATCTCGGGAGTTGTGGAGCTGCCAGGAGCCCTCTTGATCTTACTAACCATTGAGCGTTTTGGTCGGCGCCTACCCTTTGCAGCAAGCAATGTCGTGGCAGGGGTGGCGTGCCTTGTCACTGCGTTCTTACCAGAAGGTAACTGTCCCTCAAGTCTGCTTGGCAGCCAAGACCTTGAAAAAAATCTTAACATAATCAAGAACGGGGGACTTCTCATCTTTAGCAAATGTCCCCTAGCATCAGCATCATAGTGCCAGGCACACTCTCGTGATGTCTCTCCGTTTCTGCCAAATCAGCGTAATGACTTTGAGTGTAGAAGATTGACTCTATAGATTTTTCCATTTTCTCCAGTTTTAGGGTCATTTGTGGATGAAATAGATGTGTAAAACCTAGATTGTAGTCATAGTTTACTTTTTTTAAAAAATTTAATTGAAATTTACTTTATGTACAATATTGCATAGGTTACAGATGTACAATATGATGATTCACGATACATAAAGATTATATTCCATTTATAGTTACTATAAAGTACTGGCTATATTCTCCATATGGTACAATGGATTCTTGTAGCTTACTGTAGCACCTGATAGTTGGACCTCTTTGCCCCATGCCCCTACATTACCCCTCTTTCCCTCTCCCCAGTGCTAACTGCTAGTTTGTTCCCTGTATCTGGGAGTTTGCTTTTTTTTGTTGTTATATTCACTAGTTTGTTGTACTTTTTTAGATTCCACACATAGGTGATACCTTGTAGTATTTGTCTTTCTATGTCTGACTTATTTCACTTAATATAATGCCCTCCCAGTCTATCCATGTTGCTGCAAATGGCCAATTACATTCTTTCTTATGGCTGAGTAGTATTCCATATACATGTATATGGGCTTCCCTCGTAGCTCAGTTGGTAAAGAATGTGCTTGCCATGTAGGAGACCTCATCTTCTTTATCCATTCATGTGTCGATGGCCACTTAGGTTGCGTCTTAGTTATTGTAAAAACGCTGCTGTAACGTTGGGGTGCATGTATCTTTTCCAGTTAGTGGCTTTGGTTTTTTTCCCATATATACATACCCAGGAATGGAATTCATGTAGTTTGCTTCTGATCACCTTTATCTGACTTAATTTTGTGATATCATTGACCCTGTTTCACATTTCTCCCATATCACTAATTCCCTGCAAAACACGAAGGTTACAAAGGGAAGAAAAACACATTTCTTGACTTGGAGAGGTTGACAACCTAGTGAAGCATATGGACAAAGTAGAGTATGGTTCTCAGAAGTAGGAACCATCTCTGCTGGTTCAGGAACCAAACGTTCTTCGTTATCGTGGGAACATCCTGGAACCTTCTTTGTTATCATGGGAATACTCTGGCACGGAGGCGGAGGGATCATCCCTGTCCGGCAATGATAGCCTCACAGTCAGGCCAAGAGCTTGGGTGTGGTCTTGTGAGCTTCAGGTGGCGGCGAAGCGCCTCCGAGTGACCGCAGAAGTGGGGACAATAGCAATGGGGAGGGAGAGATGCTGAGAGCAGGAATCAAGGTGGTGGCATTCAGGCCTGCATGGGAGATGGTGATTTCAGAGACATTTCAGAGTTTAACTGGGGAGGGGAGGGCTTGGTGACTGCTGCGAGATAGAGGTTGTATGTAACCCCAAGCACATGGCTAACCTGCTGCCAATTATCCCTGTCCTGAAACACAGCAGGCCCTGGACAGTGGAAGCCCTTCAAACTCCCAGGGAATGTGTGTTTTAGATCAAGTTCATTATTTCCACATTCCAGGAGGTGTTGGGGGTGGTGGGCAGGGGGGAGGTTGCTGGGACAGCTGGAGCCTCTTGTAGTACTTTATGTCAGCACAAGAGAAGCTTCTTTATTTAGTTTGAAGAATTTTTTCTTAATTTTTTTCCTTTTCCATATGGTTTACTACAACATGTTGTGTATAATTCCCTGTGCTATACAGTAGGACCTTGTTGTTTATCCATTCTCTATAGAATAGTTTGTATCTGCTAACCCCAAACTCCCAGTCCATCCCTTCCCTACGCCCTCCCTCTTGTTAACTACAGGTGTGTTTTCTAGAGTCTGTTTCTGTTTTGTAGATAAATTAGTTTCATAGTTTCAGTTCAGTTCAGTCGCTCAGTCGTGTCCAACTCTTTGCAAACCCATGAATCGCAGCACGCCAGGCCTCTCTGTCCATCACCAGCCCCTGGAGCTTACTCAAACTCATGTCCATCGAGTTGGTGATGCCATCCAGCCATCTCACCCGCTGTCGTCCCCTTCTCCTCCTACCCTCAATCCCTCCCAGCATCAGGGTCTTTTCCAATGAGTCAACTCTTTGCATCCCGTGGCCAACGTGAATGACTTGGAGAGGCTGACAACCTAGTGAAGGGCATGGACAAAGTAGAGCACGGTTCTCAGAAGAATGAACCACCTGGGCTGGTTCCTGGACTACAGCACACCAGGCTCCTCTGTCCCCCGCTATTTCCTGAAGCTTTTTCAAACTCACGTCCATTGAGTCGATGATGCCACCCAACCATCTCACCCTCTGTCACCCCTTTCTCCTTTTGCCTTCAATCTTTCCCAGGATCAGTCTTTCCCAGTGAGTTGGCTCTTTGCGTCAGGTGGCCAAAGTATTGGAGCTTCAGCTTCAGCATCAAGCCTTCCAGTGAATATTCAGGGTTGATTTCCTTTAGGATTGACTGGTATATTCTCCTTGCAGAATGATGTCATATAGTATTTGTGTTTCTCTTTCTGACTTTGCATATAAGATGTCTCTCTTTTTTTTTTTTTTGAGAACCCACTGAGGATCAGAAAAGAATTGATAAAACACTGTGGATGTCGAAACAGTCAGACATTTATAGATAAGTTCATTAATAATATACTTATGAAATCCTAAAACATCAAATAACCTTATTTAAATACCATTATAGAAATGCCCATCTTCAGAATGAGGAGGGGGAGAAATCCTGTCATATTGGAAGGGTTGATGAAAAACAGAACTGTTTACATTTATCTCATTTTTCTTGAGCATCTAAGTTTCCTAATGCTGCTGGAACAAATTACCATAACCTGCATGGCTTGCAACACAGATTTGTTCCTTCATATCCTGGAGGCTGGAGTCTGAACTCCAGGTGTAGGCGGGGCCGCCCTCTCCCTGAAGGCTCTCAGTGAGGATATTTGCCTGCCTCTTCCTGGCTTCTGGTGGTTGCCAGCCATCCTTGGCATTCCCAGACAGCGTTCCCATCTCTGCCTCCATCTTCACATGACCTTCTCTGCATCTCTGTGCCTTAACCATGACATCAGCAAACACCTTATTTTGAAATAAGGTCACACTCTGAGGTTCTGGTGAACCTGAACTTTGGGGAACATGGTTCAACCCACCACACTGAGATAATGCATTTTAAGAGC